GCACAGATTTCACATTTTATTTATACCATTCTATACCTAGTTTACAACAATGACTTGAAGTTAAATCAGGCTAGAACACTGTTGAACACAGGTCTGTTATCGTGTGATTTAATGGGAGGTAAAAGGCATTTTTGTAAACACTCTTTAGTATATATTTGACCAGAAAGTGTAGGCTGAGAAATATGAGGTACTGATTTTTTTGTCACTACTGCAAATAGCTTGCCAAATCAAGGCTTTTTTAACAAACTTTTCTTGTTTTGTGTATTTAAATTTCTTATCTACTTTTCCTCTATATTTGGCGATATAATAGACAGAACCAGAAATTTGCTGATGGCCGTACTTAATATAAGTTTCATCGCCTTCTATAATACAGAAATATTTAGAAATAAAGTTGTCATACAGTTTTCTGCAGCAGGTTCTTGCACTTTTTTGTTGAGTTTTGAGCATGGGTTGGGCACATTTTGTGCTTTAAAAGAATGAAAACCATATTTATTTTGAACTTTTACAACAAAATTATGAGAAAGTCTATAAACTTTTGCGCGTTTCCTTAGTGAAAGGCTTTGGCTAAAACTGTTAACCAGCTTTCTAACTATTTTTATATCTTTAATACCCTCCATTCTTCCACCACCAGATTTGCGTTTGATCGATTTTTTTTTTTTTTTGAGAAAAAGGTTGAACGACTAAAGGTGTATGGATGTATTTGCTTTAAAAGACATTTTTTAAAACCACCTTGTAAACAAAATACAAAATAGTTAAAAAGATTTAAACATAACCACTGAAAAAAAATGACATTCTTAACTTTCACATTTATTTCGTGTACACGCTTAAACGTCTAATTCCATCAATTACACCTAATTCTCGCTTGACTCGTTATTCAGCAAAGCTTTATTGTATCTTTTCATGCTCTTAAGACATTTATTTACCTAGTTTTTTCCCTTACACTTCAATGCTTTGAATATCTCTTCCATCTTCATATTTTCCTGACTTATAAAACCTTCATCTTTTTAAGTCTTCTGTCAACCATTTCTTCGCTTTTTAACACTATTCTTTTTTTTATAATAACTCATTACTTATATCAATAATCTAATAAAAAAACTTGTTAAAAAAAGTAAAAAAATTGTTTCATCTTAGTTAGAGCAGAGTTTGATAATTTTGAACGCGGGGTAACTCCGAACATGGTCAAAACGGAATGATAGAAAAAGATTTTTTTTTTTGCCTGCTGAGAGGGGGTCCCATATTCAGTTCCAGACGGACAGTAGTGTAGTGAAACTGCACTCGTTATTCCCAATAAGTTGATCTTTTTCTCATAGTTTTATCTAATTTTTTGCTTGAGAAACATTCCTGTTGTAGCTACAATGAATATAAAACCACTCCTTTTGTTGTTGCATAATACCATAATCATAGAGTTTTTAACACGTATTATATTTTGAATATCTCAATACAACTTCAATAAATTATTCGTATTTCATTTTTTTGTGTCGACAGAGAAATAACGAACGGTCTTAGTGGGGTAATTTCGAACGTTTAAAACACCATTGATAACACACAAACGTCAGGCGTCCAGAACCTTTATGTTTCGTATTTTTGTCACATTTAATTTTAACAGTTAATTGTTAGATACGTAATTTCATTTAATAAAGTGAAAACAAGAAAATGTTTAAGAAAGAAACATTCCCTTATAATTACTAGTTCGCCATTGAGAAGTATTTTAGAGCAAAAGAAAAGTAAAAAGAAAGAAGTAACCCAGTGTGCACGCGTCGTCCTGGCGACGTCTGCCGGACAATCTACATTCGTCTAAACGTCCGACAGATGTTCCTTAGACGACGTATACCCACTGGGAAAAAATACTACTGGTAAAAGTACAAAGAGAAAGAAGAACTTTAATCTATTAGAGACTGTTTGTGTACCATTCATGTAAAGAAAAAGAGATAGCCAAAGGTGATATAGAACCGTTTTGTTTAATTTGCAAAGAAAAGTATAAGGATCCACCCACAGAAGACTGGATCATGTCGTAAATGCTAGTCCTGGTTGCACAAAAGTGCACAATTAGTGAAAGCACTTCCCGGGGTTTTGTTATCGATTTTTGTTTGTAATAATTTAAAAAATTTTTTTAAATTAAAAAATTAAAAATTAATTTTAAAAGAGTGTTGATATATTAAATTGTGATAAAAAGTTTTATGATCTACCCATGGAAGACTGGATTGTGTGTTACAATTGTAAGGCCTGGTGGAGGTAAGCATAGACTGAGGTTTTGTTTGTGATTCTTGCACTTAGTTATTAAAATTAGCATTTTATTTGTAATTACACAACAATGCTTGTGATTATCCCAAGGTGGGTTCGGAATTACCCCACATACGTAGGGTAATTCCGAACAACAATAGTTTTATTTTTGCCATAAATTTTAATTTTATAATAAGATATATAAAAATTGTTTTTGGAGGTTTGTGACTGAATAGTTAGACAATAAATGACTGAATAGATAAGCAATAATTCGCATTCCCCTTTAGGTGTTCGCCAAACACCCCACTCTCCCCTTTTAAGATGATTCAAAGACCTAAAAGATCCTTACGGTCTTACCACAGAGCACCGCGGAAGAGCATTTAAAAGGAAGTTTACGCCTCCTTCATTACCGATGTTATAAAACTTGTCCAGAGACGTTGAACCACGGATCTCTAGCTTCTGAGGCAAGTGCACTGACCACTGCAAATGTATAACATTTTTGATTCTCAAGCAAAAGCTAGCACTCTAACTAGTTCTATTACAAATTGATAAATTTAAATTCTGAATTTTTACGTATACAAACACATTTCAAAAAATAAAAACATTTTTATTTGAAAGGTAAAATCAGCTAAAGCAAACAGCAATCATTTAAATAAATTAAAAAAATAAAGTTTTTTTTCTTCTAGAAATTAGAAAAGTTAAGCACAGCAATCTTCTATTTGACTTTTTAACCAAATTTACCACACATAACCTAAATTTATTCCTAACTAGCAGAATTAAATACAAACGCTGTTCAAATTGCTTGTGTTAGCTTGATAAAAAAAAAAAAGAAAAGTTAAGCGTAAATTAAAAGTTGTGTACAGGACACTACAGTTTAACTCTTTAAATTGCACTTGTTATTTGATAATTTACCTCTGAAAGTCAATAGAACTAAAAATGTGTTTCCTTTAAAATAATTGACCGAAGCATCAATATTTCTATTATAACAATAGAACAACATTCTGACTGGATGACGCGTATGTTATAATAATCAAGGTCAGCTTGCATTGCAATGCATATACAATATTGTATACAGCATTTTAAATAGATTGTATGAAATTTTACTAACTTTTGGTAAATTATAGAATCACTGCTGTTAGAAGAGCTATATATTACTTAAAATAATGTATATAAATATAAGTAAATATATATTCAAATATAGTAATTATATATTCGTATTCAATAGTAATTATATATTCATATATTAAATTTCAAATAATTAAAATAAACAACGGCTAAAATTAGCATTTAAAAAAATGATAAACCCAAAACCAAAAGGATGTTAGACTTGCATCAGAAAAACTACGAAACTTAAATTTTTTTATCGTTAAAAGCTAAATTTAAATTATTTAAGATAAGGTTCTGATCTGTCAAAAAGTTGACGAAAATCTTGAACAAGCAAAAAAAATGTACAAAAAAATTAGGTGCAATTAAAAAATTCAATGCATAAGTCACGATAAAAACAATTGTTAAAACTACCGATAAAGAATTTAGAAAAATGCTAATAATCCTTATAAGTCTAAATGTAAAAATTTTCAAAGAAAGATTTACGTATTCATGGTTTCAAACTAACAATAGATGACATTTATAATATTAGTTCTGCAAATTTGAAAAATTATGCTAAAAAAAACTTAAACAAAGTTAAGGAATTTTAATAAGAATCAATTAATTTAACGCAATACTAATCTAGCGATAGCCTGCATTATTTTATCATAAAATATAATATTTAATAAATAATTTGTTATAGATATAATTTTTTTTTCTCTTTTAACATAATTAAGGCCAAAAAATCAAAATAATCGAGTCAAACGATGCAGCGCACAAGGTTTTCATCTAACTTTTGATAATTTATTATCTAATGTGTAAAGGATCATGTTTCTTTGCAGGAAATTTTCAAGAATTTTTTGTTTAAGGCCTGTCCTAGTGTTTATATAAAAAATAACCAGCTGATGTATTTTGTTAAATTAAGCGCAAAGACTGAGAGCAGATGTGACACTATACAAAACTTTTTTATAATACAGGCTGATGTTTAGTAGATCAAATCAATAACTTCAAAAACAATCTTTGAAGTTTAAATCATAATAATAATTGCAACTTGCTGCTAAAATAATTTAAAGATAAGCAAGCTCATCTCATGATAATTTAAAGATAAGCAAGCTCATCTCATGATAATTTAAAGATAAGCAAGCTCATCTCATGATAATTTAAAGATAAGCAAGCTCATCTCACGATACATTTAAAGATAAGCAAGCTCATCTCATGATACATATTATACACTTCTGCTCATTGTAGCGATCATAAATAGTATACATAAATATTTAAAATAGCTAAATATTATTTACATAAGGGACATCCATATAATACGTATGGAGTTAAAGGCATGGAAGAAACCAAAAGCGAAGTGCGCAAAATAAGAGGGGGAACGTTCAAGTCAGCTGGTACTCGCGGTTTGACTATTTTCTTCTTCCGCCCGATATCTCCACAGTCGTTTAAGTTTAAGTGAAAAAACATCAACTAAGGTTTTTTTTTATTGTAAATGCTTTGTTTACTGCTTTTATTGCTTAAAAAGGGTGTTAAATCTATATTTTAAATTTTTACAATGGAAGGAGGAGGAGGAGGAGGGGGGGGGGGGTGAAGAAAGGGGTCAACATGTAGTAAACGACATGTAGTAAACATTGTAGTAAACGACGCGTGCTTACACAATGTAAAAGTGCACACAAGGGGAGCCTAAAATAAACGGGTTTACAGCGTATGGATGCGTTATGAATGCCCAATACTAGTTTTCTATTTTTAAAAATTTTATCTACAATTTTTATTTACACATACTTTAAATATTATTTACAGACGTTTAGAACATTTTTTTTCGTTTTCCGCTACTTGTATGGGTCAAAAGCCATTACTGACACAACCTCTGTGTTTGATTCAGGTAACATACTATCAGCTATTGCATCAATAATTTCAAGTAACAGTTCTCGTTTTAAACGACGAATATCAGGGTGACGAGCAACACTTGGAAACTGCTGCACAATAATACTCAATGCATGACGTTTCATGTCTTTTGCCCCAATCCCATGTGATGCCTCAAAAATCTTAAATTAATTAAAAAAATTTGTTAATCAAACTAAATTTGTAGTAATAGTTATTGAACTTCTAGTAACATCCTTCTTTCTATTTACACTATAATATACTAAAAAAAAAAATTTGACTAAAATTTACAAATTTATGATATACTAAAAAATTTTCACTTTTCTCCTAAATTCAAAAACAATTTACACTGGTTTTACCGGTATAATAAACGGGAACTTTAAAATAATTTATTAGTTTCACCTAGGACGTACGAACATATAGACATTTAACGCATTGTTCAAAAACAAAGATATCTGCGCTATTAAAGCAGATTTTCACTTACAGGAAATTTTTCACAGAACGGAAAAGAAAACTACTAAATCTCATTGTAGTTAAGTTACTTTTTAAGAAATTGCCGTCAATCGGTAATTAATTTAAACAATCAAGATATTTCCGTAAAATATCTAGTCTGCAAAAAATACCGAAATAAAACTGGCAATCTCCTTTACTCTCATTTAATTTTAATCTATATAAATATTTTGGAAACAAAAAATGGTATAAATTAATAATGTTATCAAAGAATAAATTAAGTTTGATGCGGAACCACGCACGGAACAGAACCACGCACGGAACAGAAAAACAGAAAAAATTTTACTCACTAGATAAATAAACTTTAATATTTTTATAAAAATAAATTGATAGGAAGTATTTTAAGTGAAATACTTCCTATCAATTCTATATTATTTCAGTTTAATATTTCTACAACTCATATTTAATATATTTTTGACGAGAAATAGAAGTCATCAAATATTTCTAGCTAAAGTGTTGCGTTTTGAAAAAAAATAAAATGTAAAAATACGTTTTAATTTATTCAGGTAGCCTAGAATATGTTAAAAATATTTTTGTTATAATTGTTCTTTAAGAAAACCATAATAGAATGCATATTGCTTTAAGTCCCAGCTTCTAATTATTAAAGCAAAGAAAAATAAAAAATCATGCACAGAAATAGAAATGCCCATACGTAGCTGTCTCACACGTCTAATTAAAAAAAAAATTATGTAAAGTATTTTAATTTTTTAAATATTTTGTTTAAAAATATATTTATTCAACAACCTTTGCATATAACCAGTATAACTTTTAAGTTTCTATATTTTATATTTATGAAGTCAATCTAGAAAAAAAAAAGAGATTATAATAAAATTTAAATCCTTAAGAGATTAGTAAAATCTAATTGTAGGGAATAGTTATTGTAAACAATATCTACTTTGATCTGTTAATGATCTACAATATGACCTACAACACGCAGAGAATGAACATTGTAGAGTAATTCTAGAATATTCATTCTAGTATATCACACATTGTATGGTGTTGCTGGTATGGTATGTCCGGCTTTTACGAAGGTAAAAACAGTAAAAATCTTAATTTTTATAGCTTCGGCACTGTATTATATTTTATATGTATACATGGCCGACGACACGGGTTTCGATGTGATCGGGGCACAATCGTCTATTTCTAAAAAAAAGTTCTTTGTATCTAGAACTTTCTTTTTTTTTTTTAAAAAAAAAAACCTGGCGTCGTCGACCCTGGAATATATCCAACGTAAAAGCCGGACATCTGGCAACCATAATATTGCATTTTTACAAAAACATATTTGACGTCAAAGTTATTTTACAAATAAGTTTTATTAAATAAAACCTACATATCAATTAAAATGTTTAATAGATAGCATTTTATCTAATAACGCATTTATATTTCCCAAAAGTTAGTATTTTACGGTTGTTTATAAAACATTTACTGAAAAAAGTTAATAAAGCAAAAATGTCGGTTTATTTTGTAAAATTATTTCAAAAAGAAGGTTCAAATTAAAACGCGCATAGAGGGTTAAGTTATTGGCGCCGTCTATGATCTATAACATTAAGTTAAACGTCTATCTATCCATACATTTTTGGTTTCGCTAATTAGTCATTTCAAAGTTATCTCAAAGTTCTTAATAAGCTTAATTTTACCAGAAAAATATCACTAACATTAAGGCTATAATAAATAAACAATGTTAAACCAAGAATTATTTTTAAATGTAATTTTAATGTAATAATATGCTAAATTTAAAATGTAATAGAATAAATATACAAATATATATATATATATATATATATATATATATATATATATATATATATATATATATATATGCATATATATATACATACATACAAAAATATATATATATATATATATATACATAAATAAAAAAATATACATATATATATATACATACAAAAATATACATATATATATACACAAAAATATATATTTTTTTTTATAACCAAAATTTTTTGTTATTAAATTTTGGTTATAAAAATAAAAAAAATTTAAAACTTACATGTATGACATTTTGATGTGTAACATTCATCTCTAAATTATGCTTGCAGTAAGCCTAGTAAAAGAAAAAAATTATTATAACGGATAAATTTATGTTAGGCATTATTTCAATTGTTTGTTTTATCTTTCTTATATATTATTTTACTTGTTGAGGTAATAATCAAAATAATACCTGCAACTGAGAGTTAGTAAAACCAAAATAAAATGGTGCTGAGAACAAGTATAGTGAATCTTCAGGAGGCATTTTAATATCTCCATAATAAATGTATCTTAGTAATGTTTCAATAGATTGTGGAGATGGCACCATATCTCCAATTTTAACCTTGAAAAAAAATTAACTTAAATAAAAAAAATTCCTAAGTTATTACATAATTTATTATTTGATATAACTAAATAAATAATCTAAAATAATAATTATAATTTTTTTACAATCAACTATTATTTTTTGTCATAATCACAATATAATTAAACAATTGTGCATTAAGCAAAATTAATTTTCAAATATTTACAAATATTCAAAATCAAATTCAAATCCAAAATAAAATTTGAAATAAAATTCTTAATACGTAAAGGAAATTGCATCAACAACAACAACAATGAAATTCCTTTTCGTTTTTTTAAAACTATCCAAACGAAAAAATTAAAACTTACAGTAGCTTTACATTCCACAGGGTTAAATGAACGAAACATTGCTTCAAAATAGCTAAATTTCAAAAACAAAGTAGCAAGTCATTTTAAATAATTAAATTCATATTTAAAATCATGTCAAACAAGTATAATTATTAATGGTATGAAAGAAAATAAAGAAAAAAAAGCTTTTCTTAACCATAATTGAAATTATAGAAAAGCAAAAAAAAAAAACAAAACATTGAAATTCTAATGGAAATAAAAGCTGATTTTTTAGCTGATTGGCATTTAAATAAAAGAGTAACGAAGTGATTTATCTGCATTTTTATTAGAGAGAACTTTTTTTAATGTTGTCATAACATCTCATCCATTTAACTCTGAAACATAAACTTTGATAAACAAGCTCACTACCAAGAGAAACAAGCAATATGTGGCACTACCCGATATGTGGTAAGATTAAAATACTTCACTACTTACAAAGAGTGGGTTCTCCAATTGTGCCACTATTGTAACAAACTTGCTAAATAAGTTTTTAACTAGTAGTTATTAACTTACTTAGTTAAAAACTAGTCACAAGTTGTTAGTATAAAGATAACTAACACTTATAAAATTGGATACATGTATTACTTAATTTAATAAGGAAAGTCAAACCTAAATTATTTAAAACCTACCTACTGCGTGCTGCTAACACAACCTACAAAAAAAAAAAAAAAAAAAAAAAAAAAAGCCTTATTATATTTCCGTAAAATAAAATCCTTGTCCAAGTAAAAATTTGTTTAAATAACCTACATATTCAACAGACATTTACTACATAAAATTAAAAATATCTTCACCAAAATTCAAAATCCTTGTTGATAAAATACTGGGATTTGATTTAAACTAAAAAATTTTTTTTATATAATCCTGGGCAACTTACACACATATTTATATGAAAAAATTCACTTTTAAAGATAAACGCACGAGTTTCAGATTGACTTTTTTTTAAAAAAGGTGTTAATTTTATTAATTTTAGATTTAAAATGTTTTTCTCTGAGTTTGATTCACGTAGATGTAACTAAAGAACTTTTGATACAATCCAGTGACTTCCGCATACACTTTTATGACAAAAAAATTGGAAGGGAAAAAAATAAAAACAAAAAGTATTCAAGAAAAAAGAATTTACAATTTTTGTACAAAATTTTAAAAAAAGTAAAAGAATTTTAAACATAAAAACATAAAACGAATGGTAAAGTAAAGAAAAAGAAATACAAAACGGAATATAATATAATGATAAAAGTAGAAAGAATTTTTTAAAAGTTAAAAGTAAAACTAAAAAAAGGATTTATTTAAAAAAATAATTTGTTGCTATTTTGTTATAGTTGGTTTTATTTAATAAAATATTTGTAATTAGTTAATCAGGTGTAATTATCTTTAAACTTAGATGTTTCTAAAAAAAAACTTATCGGCTATAGTTAATACTTATGACTTAAAGTTAATGCTAACAACTAATACCATTCAATTCTTTTTTTTTATTATGTATTTTTGTTTTTATCTTTCATATATATCTATTCTCAAATATCTATTTTTAATAATTTTGACAATTTCTGTGCATAACTTTTGTCTAACTTTGTAACTTTTGTTTTATTGTTGCAGCACTTGCTGTCTTCAGTTGATAATTTAGTATGACTTAATGCCAAAATTTAAGTTTTTGACATCGAAACAATTGTCCTTGACCTTGAAATTTTGGCCTTGGCCTTCAAAAAATCTGCTGATCAAAATTAGTAAGCAAAATATTGCAAAATAGGTCAGCAAAATAACTATGAAATAGCCTGCTGCTGGGGGTTTCAGTACATACATCAATTGTCTTATAGCCTGTTGCTGAAAAGGCTGCTACATCTAATGAGAGGTTAGCTTGGGACAGCAATCTTTTCTTTCATTATTCTTTGCTTTTTTCCTTCTTTTTCTGAAAATGCTGTATGCTATAAAGACAGGAAAAACTATATATATATATATATATATATATATATATATATATATATATATATATATATATATATATATATATACAAATATATATATATATACACACACAAGTAACTAAAGTCAATATAAGCCAACATATGCTAATATATGAGCCAACAAAATAACTGAATGTGACCCAAGATAATCACTAGATGTAAGTTTATACTAGCTATGTATGCCCAGACCTTTAATTTGCAGTGCAAGTATGCAATCAGAAAAAACAGTAATCCTTTTCAATCAATTCAACATGAGGTAAAATGTATAAAATATACACCTAAAGGTGTATATTATAAAAAAAAGTAGCAAATGTTTTAACATCAGTTCTTTATACATTACACGTGAATATGATAATATGATTCAATAATAAAAAATATCATAAAAAACGATAATATACAATGTCATGACAACATACAATTGTGTAAACCATAAATAATTATCCCAACTTGTGATGTTTAAACTTGTCCACAACTTAGACATAAAATAATAGCATCAGTTCATTACTAATTGCATTGTTTTCAAATGGAATAGTCTACTTGATCAGACAGCAAATTACAAAAATGTCAATTCATTTAAAACTATTCCTAATATAAACAACAAGTCAAACTGTCACAGAACTGTCACATCATGCATCTGGTGCATGCTGAACAATTCAAACAGTTGTTGTGATGCAGCTTATGATGATACTAAAAATTATTATAAAATTACTATTTAATTATAAAATAATACCTTATGCACTTTGATCTCTTTTCCCTTCAAACATAAAACAAAGTCACTGAAGTATTCTCCAAAGTCATTTGTTAAAAGAGCTTTTAAATCGTCTTTTAAAGTAGGGGCTAAAATATAAAGATGTTAAACTGCTTATTTTTTTTTACAAATATTATCCTTTAAAAAAAAAGTGAATTAAAAATGTTTGGAGTTATTAAAATAATTTGTTTAAATTTGAGTTAATGTAAAGAATAGTTTTGATTTATATTTAGTTGCTATATGGAAAAACTTAACAATTAAAAAAATAACAAATTGAAAAACAGAAAGTACACAAAATGAACACCTTTAACTATTAAAACACAAATTTAAACAACTTTAGTTATGTAAAAAATAATTAGATCTCTTACTTAAATTATTCATCAAATAATTACACAATAGAAATAAAAAATTTTTAAAAATTAGTATTTTAGAAAAAATATTTAGTTTTTAATAAGAAGGTTTTAAATACTATCAATAAAATTCAATAAGTAACAGGAAAAAATAGGATGATTGATATTAAGAACAAAGAAAAGGATTACCATGTAAAACCGTTTGACTGGGAGTATCGGGAATTGAATTGTGCTAAACATATAAGAATGACATGAAAAAAATGAAAATTTTTTAATAATAAAATAATAAAACAAAATAAGAAATTAAAAAAAAATTAGATTACTTGTTGAAGTTGCTTCCTTCTGATAATCTCAATCATTAACTTCTTGTCAAGATCTTCAAAATCAGTTCCATGGATAATTTGATTATAATGAACTTCTCTTATAATAAATCGCATACAAAACTCCTATACATTAGTTAGTCTTATAATAAATTGCATATAAAACTCCTACACATTAGTTAGTCTTATAATAAATTGCATACAAAACTTCTACACATTAATTAGTCTTATAATAAACTGCATACAAAACTCCTACACATTAGTTAGTCTTATAATAAATCGCATACAAAACTTCTATACAATAGTTGGTCTTATAATAAATTCCATACAAAACTTCTATACAATAGTTAGTTCAAGATCTTTATGAAAACTGTCGAAATAAAAAATGTTATGTTCAATATATAAATAAAAAAATAGTAACATAATGAGCAAAATATATAAATAAAACAGTGGAGAATAGAGCAAGAACTTTTGACAAATTTATTACTAGTGACAATATTTTTTTATGACTTGAATAAAAGAGATTATGACATTATGGAATACAATGGTATTTAAATACAAGAAGACTTGTCATCTAGACATTTTAGAAGAATATAAGAAGATGCTCTGGTTAAAAGCCAATTTACAAAAAAAGAAACTTGGACAGCTAAAGTAGCTGTCCAAGTTTAAAATCTTTGATTTTAAACATGCTAAAACCAGTGATATTTTTGTGAACAAGAACAAAATTGAAAACAAAAATTTTATTTAAAGAATATTAGCAGTTGGTTCTATTTTGGTACATAATGTTTATTTGGTACATATTGCTTTGCTTTAATTTTGCTCTTTATTACCTTTTTATTTGAAGAAAACTGAAAAAAAATAAAAAATTTTGAATTTCCAAAATGAATAATAACTAAATTAAAACTATAATGGAATTAAAACATTTTTCTTCTATTTTTATAAAGAGTATACAAGTTGTTGTTTTTTTATAAGGAACTGGTTTATAAGAAACTGAAGGCTCTAGAATCTGAAGAAATTTGGTTACCTCAGATAAGAAGCTAATTTAATAAAAGCTTAAGAAATATTTTCTAATTTTTCATCTACATATTACATAAAATATAACACAAAGTTAAAACAAATTATTTTCTACACAAACAACAGTTTAAACAAGTTTTTTATATGCACACACAAATCAGTTCATAAATTTGAATGGAATTCAAGATTTCCTTTTGAAAAACGTGTAACATTTAAGAATATTTGTAAGATTAAGAAATATTTAATATGTAAGAATATTTGTAGATTAGCAATTAGCAAATTAAAATAAAAACAGATAATGAATTATGCTCATAATGGATGATGCATAAGTCATTGGCCAAAATTTAATTTTTCTTGCTAATTGAACAATTTCTTGCTAATTATGAACAATTATGTTTGATGTACATGTAAAAAAAATTTATAAAATGTTGATTTTATTATTTAAAACAAATTTATCAAAAATGAGGTTAAATACAGCAGAATAAGATATTTTTTAAAAACGTCTTGTTTGTAAAAAACCATAATATTAAAAAAAGTGAAATAGTAAATCATTTTAAAAAAGTACAAAATTCAATCTGTATTGCTGATAGTCTTGAAACATTGAAATATTTGTGGAGAAAAAATATTGCTCACAATTTCAGACAATGGAAAAAATATTATATTATTAGAAATGAGAGTTCAAGCAGAACTTTTAAACAGAAAAAACATAGGATTTATATTATCTTCTGGTTCTAAAAGCTAGCTCAGACATGTTCCAGAAACATATTTTCCTGCAGAAGCAGCGATAATGTTTGTAACCATATGTGATACATATAAAAAAGAAAAATTAGTGGCAATTAGTAAAGAATAAAAACAAGAAAAAAAAGCACCTCCCAGTGCAGACATATAGTATAAGGTACAAACACTTAACTAGGTTTTTTTATTTTTGTGTATGCCTATATTAGATTTAAACTAAATAAGATAAAACTTTTGTGTGACTAACAAAAATTGAATTGAATGAAAACATGATTTCAATAAAAAACTATTCACTGAACAAAAATATCACTTTCACTAACCATACAAAAACTTTTCATATTTTGAGGCCATTTAATATTTTCTATTGCATTATGTAGAAAATATAAGATATTAACTGACCTCAATATAGGATTTAAATTACAAAGAGCTCTTTGTAATTTAAATCTCAATTTGTTTTAAGTATCATTGTTTCAACAAATTGAAAGTTTTAGGAACTTACAAACTTTTGCACTAGTTTACATTGAATCAAAATATCCTTCATATTACTATAAACATTTTAAAAGTAAAAGGATGAGAAAGAGATATCTTAAAGATGTTGTAATGTTTGAATCAGATAGTTGTTGTACTAGAAAAAACTTTCAAAATTAAAAAACATGTGAAGTTTTATATTATCATTATATAATATAAAACATAAATTTTTCTAAAAATACCTTTATAAATTCCAAATGAAGTGCTTGTGAACACTCTAAAGCTGCCAACACATTTTTTGTAGATATAGATGCTTCTATATACTGCTCACACAAAAGCCGTAGACGCATCAAATTAAACTAACAGGAAAAAAATTATAGGAAAAAAATGATGGTACCAAATAATTACATTTTTTCTGCTTACTACATAAAAATATACAATATAAAAAATTTAAAAAAATAAAACATCAAAAACATACTCTAACAGCAAAATTATAAACATCCATCATTAACTTCATTACATCAGTTGTTGCACCATGTTCATCTAAAAAAATCAACCAAGAATCATAAAATGTTTTTAAAACCTCACAAACTTATTCAAGTTAAACAAACTTAGTTACAAACTCAGATATGCTGACCACTATTTCGTTGCAACCTATAATAACTTTAAATTCTAAGATGTAAGTGATGTAAAGATGTAAGCAATGTAAGTGATGTAAAGTACAAGGCCTGGAAACATTATTGGTGTGTTGGAAGCTGTTTTAAATCAAAAAGAAATATTATTTACTTAAAATTATTTACTTAAAACTTCAAAATGTGTTGAACAGTACTTGAAACAAGCATTAAGCAATATTCATAAATGCTTTGATATATAGTACAGTATACAGTCCATAAGCAATATTCATAAGTGCTTTGATATATAGTACAGTATACAGTGCATAAGCAATATTCATAAGTGCTTTGATACATAGTACAGTATACAATGCATAAGCAATATTCATAAGTGCTTTGATCCTATTTAATCATTCATTAGTTGCATCGTTTCCTTTATCAGTAGAATCAAAAATCAAATTTTTTGTATATTAAATTTCTATAAATAAAAAAAACTAATATAAACCTTTAATGTAAGGATATATTTGATCAGTATACATAAACCATAGGACAACTTTAAATGCTAGTTTATTGACATCGCCAACATCAATACAAATCTTTTCCTTGAAATTAGAAGATCGATTGAGTTGTCTTATACTTGATGCAGAATCATCTGAGGGTCGTTCAACAGACTCCTTTATTGAATTATTCTATAACATAACAAAGTTTTATAGTAGATACTAAACTAAACAAATCTTATCCTATACAAATCTGTGTATATTTTAGTAGCAGCAGTAACCTGAAAGTGTTTGAGATCAGCAATTTTTCCTAATTCCGAGGGTTGAGTAGTAGTAGTAGTAGTAGTAGTAGTAGTAGTAGTAGTAGTAGTAGTATAAGTAATACTAGTAGTAACATCATCAGTAAGTTGTAGTAATAAATATTTTGCTTAAGTAAATACCTCCTAGCTAAACCCTCAATTAATGCATGTACTGAAACCTTATCTCTATTTTACTATAACATCATCAGTAAAGTCTCATGCAAACGTCATTTTTCAGTATAAGATATACATACAGCCCTCAGAATTGAGAAAAATAAGATCAGCAAAAAAATGCCAACCTAATACCATTTCAGGTTGGCATCAGGTGGGTTAAAAGTTTTGAAACAAGATTTGATAAATTGACAAACATGCAAAATTTTAGCATAACATGAACAGATAAACAAACCCCAACTTCTTCAAATTTTTGTTTGCTAAAAAATATGATAAACAAAAGAATTTTTTTAAACTGATTTGTTTGCATTTTAAATAAAAGATATGCATTTAGAACTTAATTAGAATGTTTGTTTTGCTGTTTAATTTTATATATTTTTATTATTGGGATTTAAAAAAAAAATCGCTTTTAATCTTTTCTTAACAATGCATTATTTGATTAATTTATTAATTAAAATGCCAGTTTATTTATTTTTATTTTAAATATTTTATCTAAAATTTAACTAAAACATTTGCTTTTCTGCTATGTTTTTAAACTAATTTGTTAATATGTTTTTTAATTAATTTATTAATATGTTTTTCAATAATTTTATATAGAATTTACATAAAACAATTTCATTTTTATTTTTATTATTTTACTTTCTTTTTTTTATATTTTATATAGAATTAACTTTAAATTATTGGGTTTACATTTTCAGTTTAATTATTTTAATTAGACTTTTTTATTTAATTACTTTATTTAAAATTAAATAAAATTATAAAATGTTTGTTTTTTTGTTTATATTGTAATTATTTAATAAAGAACTTAAATAAAATATTTGATTTGCCCATTTTTAATTAAATTGAAGTAGAAAATCAAATTTGGTTTCAAAATTTTAAGGTTGGCAAAAAATTGCTAATTTCAGGCACTGTATAGTCAGCAGTTAGGTCAGCGTTCAACAATGCAGACCTAACTGCCAATCGACAGTCAACAGTTAGATCGACAATGACAACTCAGAGAACTGTACATATAATATTGCATAATAGGTCTATGCAAAACATTACTAATAGTTTTATACTAAAATAACCTTTAATAGCTTCAGTACATCAATAAATACACATTTGGCTGTCACTTGTGTTATAATGGAATAGCTGTCTATTGGTGCTTCTCAACTAATGCAGGCCTTTGTTGCTAGATTTTCTTTATGATTTTTAAAATTAGTCATCTAAATCACATCAAATTATCTTTCAATATTTCAGTACAGTACAGTTCAGTAAAATTAACAACTTTTATGAGTTTTTTTTTGTTTTTTGTAATCATTTTGACTTTACTATTGTTTATTTTAAATTTACATGTTAATTTTAAACTAAAAATAAGATCAAGCTAAAAATGAGCAAAAATATAGTTTTGAAGACAAGGTCTTCAAAACTATATTTTCGCTCATTTTTACCAAAATATGATATTTTTTTTATGGGGACTGTACATCACCAATAGTTTATTTTGGAAACTGTAATAAAAACAGAATGGAGACCTAGTAACCATGTTTTGGAGTGGATTTTAATTATCAAACAAATTATAATAAAAAAGTACATTTGTATGTTACAAATTTCTTATTCAACAATTTTAATTATAAACAAAAAGTTATTATTGATAGAAATGAAATATTCATTATCCATGCAAAACAAATAATAGCCTATAAAAATAACTAAATGAAAGCTTTACATATGAAACTACTCTATAAGAAACCAGAGGCTATTTATGCTTGCCTAATTAAATTGCTTATAAAAAGAAATTGTGTGCTAATATGATTGAGTTGATTTGTAGATTAGTTTTTTGGTAAATCATAAGGTATATGCACTTGTTCTTCAAAATAATTGTATTTTTATTAACTATTTTTTCTACTTTGGTTAGCAGATTGGCTAACCATCTTTGGTTGGCCAATCTAACTAGGTGTTAAATAAATGATGATATATAAAAATTTACAAGAGTGCCTTCATTCTCTTCATCAACTTAAAATACCAAGCCAACCCAGTTAACTATATTATGTTTGCAAACATAATATTTTCCTGTTGTGATTTCTTAAAGATATTGTATTGAGCCAGTACGATTGAATGTTAGATTAAATTCCTTCTGCTCAGAGACTGTTTGTTGCATCCTGTGGAATAAATTGAAATAACATTTTTTATTTTATTTTATAATTTACCTTCCCAAGGCCATGAAGGCTACAGTTGAGGAGGCAATTTTATATTTGGAAAATCCTATTTTAACTTGGAGTTCTAGATTGAATTTAACAAATAATTCCTTTGAGAAGTAAAGAAACAATTGCTTAAAAACTTAATGTTTATTTTTGGATAAACTTACAAAGTTCTTTATACTTGCAATTTTTACTGAACTGATCATTACAATAAAAGCTTTCCACATTATCGATGATATCTAAACTAATTATAACAATTTTAGTGAATATTTTCAAAGTGAATATTTGATTTCAAGGAGTCATGAACACATACCAACAATATTAATTTTTAAAACACTTTTTAAAAAGTGGTTTTAAAATAATTTGTTACCATGGTTACCAGGCTTGTATTATATCTCTACTCCATTTTCTGTGTAAGATAATACACCATTTTGATTTAGTTTAATTTTTTTTTTTAATAAAAAACAAATTATCTTATTCCTTGACTTCAAAACTATACTGGTTCTAATTTTCATCTGATCACATACATAGTTAAACAGTATCAAAATGGCCACTATACAAAAAACCCACAAAATTAGCTGAAGCAATTATATATTGAAAACCAATTTACAAGGTAGTCTAAGTCAAATAGACTTCAAAGTATGAAGAAAATCTGGCGGGTTGCAAACCTAAAAAAATTGTTTCACTTTCTCATGAAATATTATTGTAATACTTGTAACACCAATATTTGCAGTAATATAAACCCAATCAGAATTCGTAGTATTTTGGCAAAACATTTAAAAAAATGTAAACAAAATAAATTAAATAACAAAAACAAAAGATTTAAATTTTTTAATTGAATGAAAATATACTTCTTTGTTAAGTAGATGTCTAAGTTGTTCACGAAGGACAGGCGATCTTGCAGCAACAATTGAAATATGGGAACCAATTTTTTCCTAAATTTATGAAATAGACAACATAAACACATTGCAATACTAACACAAAACAATGAAAGCATTTTTTCAGAGGCTGCATTAATATATTTATAATTGTGTTTTGTTTTTGTGCAGTGTATTGAACAAATGTTTTATTTTTTCCTATTGAACTTAAAATTAGTTTTTAAAAAGATAAAAGAAAAAAATAGTAAAAAATTACACACAAATATTTGAAAAATTAACAACAGAAGCTACAATTCAATAGTAAGAATTGAAAATAAAACCCTACACTAAATTATTTTATATTTCTTTAAAAGCAAAATCAGTTAATATTTTTCTCAAACTAAATCAATTAAACGCATATCTGGTTGCGGAAGAAAAAAGGATTTTCAAGACACACCAGCTAGAAAACTGATTAACAGTTTTAAGATTAGCTTATTAGATTATTACAAATTTACTCGTAGTTTTGTTGTTAAATAAAAATGACCTTTATTCTTTCAAAATATTCTAGAATCCACAAAAAAAGTGCAATAACCTATAAAATGGGCCTAATGGTTATGAAATTCAGAAAAAAGAAAGTTATATGACAATTAAATTTTTAAAAATTTCTGAATCATTGATTCAGAATTTTTTTTTATTGTTTTATTAAAGATGATGAAACTTTGATCAGATACAATCATTATGAAATTCTTAGTGCTGTCTATTGTTACCAAATAACAAGATAGAAAAAAAAAAAAAGTCACATTCGTGTGACTTTTTTATTTTTATCTATACTTGAGTTGTCTATGTTTTCTCATAGAAAATAATTTTTGTTTAAAATTGTTGTAACAAAAATTATTTTTTCATAGAAAATAACTTTTGCTTATTTAGTTTACATAATAAAATTTAACTTTTTTTATTTAACATTTATGAAATATTTGTATATTTGTATATTTATTTTAGATATTTTTTATTTAACATTTATGAAATATTTAGCTGATAATATGCTATAATAAAAACAAAAATGTAACTTAATGCAACCAAAACTATTGAAAACAGATCAAACATCAATATCCCTACATTTTATTTATACAACTGCCAAATGCCCTACTGCCTTGTAGGTGTGCTTTTTCAGGCAAAGGCTAGGAGAAACAAACTCTGACTTATAAATCCCCTGCCTTGAGGCTTAGTTGAGAAAAGGCTTGAGATGGCATCTCGATAAAAATACTCATCTTGGCCAGATGTTAACTGCATCCTGCTACTGTCTTGTAGAAGACCTTCTAGGCAAAAGATGTTAGGGGTAAGCAATATAATTTTGCTAACCTTGAACCCCTTCTTTATCTATTAGGGTAGCTTAGATGTAAACCCATGCACAGTGGGCCCAGAGGTGGAAATAGTCAAAAAATATTTGTTTAAGAAAGTCTATAAAAATGATTTAGTTAGATAAATTTGTAAATAAATAAATAAAAAATTATGTTTCTAGCTAATTTCTAAGTGATGATATGCAATTTTAAAGTTAATGAATTTCCAATTTTTTTTTTGTGTATTTATAAAAGTTTAGTAAATTCGGTTAGTTTCCATTAAAAATGAATTTACCGACATGAAAATTGATAAACAAATTATGTAAAAGTTGTTTTTAATATGACACGGAATATATTTTTGCATAAATAAATTAAAAATGTGTTGTTTTTTTTAATCTTTTTTTTTCAAAGCTTTTAAAGCTTAATTATGTATTTATGTTAAAATTTATGTCGATGTTTTTTACAAAAAATTAGATTAAATCTTAGATTTTTTCAAAAGTGCTAACTTGCCTCTATTGTCATACATTTTAAAAATATTTTAAGGAGAACTAAGTTAAGTTAAAAAAAATTAGCACTTTTTTTATTTAAAAAAGTTGAACAGTGATTATTATTTCTTTCTTAAAATATGTGAATATTTCTTAAAATATATGAATATTTCATTTTTGATTACAAATATGAAAATTTTTTATTTTTTATTTGTTTATTTGATATAATTTTGTGTTTGTTTCAGCAAGTAAAATAAAAAAATAAGTGTAATGAAGAAAAATAAAATTGTAAAATACATTACAGAAATAGATTTATTCACACAATTTATTAAAGCTGATATACAAAACTGTTAAGTCAAATTCAGTAACATATTCAGCCATTAAAGAAATACTTTATAAAAATTTTGAACTATCAGTTACTTCACTGGATTTTGAAAATAAGTGTGAAAAAAACATGGATATGTTATAAACACCTGAAAGAGAAGCATTTTAAGAATAATGGATATGCATTTATACTTTCACATGCATTAAAAGATATTATTTATGAAGTAGAGGATGCTTACATAACAGAACCGTGTTTTACGAAACAAAGAAAATCTTTTACAGAACTAGGTGATAAGATAAAAAAAAGAAGAGGACACAGGAACTTCTCAATAATATAAACAACTTTATCACTGAGTGCCTAGAGTTGCATGTTAACCAGTTTTGTTAACCAAGTTGCATGTTAACAGTTTTGTTAACCAAGTTGCATGTTAACCAGTTATTGGGTTACCTCTTATATAGAGTAAACACACAAAATAATAAAAGTATTGCTCATGCTAGAAATGCTATTTTTACAAACCATATGGAAACAACAGATATCTTTAGCATAGATGAATCCATTGCTCTAATGCATTCCCTTACATTAAGTAAAGAGTAAATGAGAAAATTAAGATTTATTTTTACTTCAAAAGGGATATATTTTCCAACGACCAATGAATTGCTTGAAGAAAGAAAAAAACTGTCCCCTACAATTAGTAATGTTTTGACTGGAAGAGGTATTTCTGTTCAATACAAAGAGCTTGTAAAAATGATAATTGATTCTGTTTTGAATATAATTAAAGATTCTTTTATTCCAGTAGATGGCAATGAGTATCAGATGTGTTTCAAGGATGGTTGTGATGGAGCAGGGCAGCAAGTATCTATGAAATCAAAAGAAATGATTGAAAGCAAGTCCAATATGTTTCAATATGGTCTTATTCCTCTGAAACTAATATGCAATCGTGATAGTAAAATTATGACCCTGTGGCAAAACTATTCATTAAATGCATCGAGAATATTACATCCTGTGTTTTTGATAAGAGAAACAAACTAATCAAGATTTGCTAAATCTTATTGCCCCAACTTAAGATAACGCACGAGAAGAGTTAAATGCTGAAGGAATGTGTTATCTGTTTGGCAAGAACTATATCAATGTTAAAATTTGTATTCAAGATACAATGAAGGATTTAAAGTTTAAACGACTCATCAGCGGACTAGGAGGTGCAGATTGTATACTTAGCAAAACAAAAACTACTGAATGGACAGATATTAGGGGAGAGTTAGTGAAGGATTTCTGATTGATCGATTATCAAAAGAAACTTCGATGCTGTATGAAAAGCTAGTTAAGAAGGATGGTATCATTCCTACTAAAAATGGACATTTTGACACATGAAAAGGACTGACTATAAAACCATAAACCAAATCTGATCAAAAAAGCTTATGTATTACACATTCATAAATAAATAGCACTACCTAGTTTTTAAAACTACTTTATTTGTGTCATATAAATTATAGACATTGGGTTTTAAAAATAGGACCACTTGGTAAAACAATACTTAATGCAAAAGACAGGTTTATTACTAAAAACCAATACGTAATGCAAAAGACAAGGTTATTAGTATTAGGAAAACATTGGACTGCGATTAGCTATGCATTGTAACTCTGGTGAAAAGGGAGGGACACCTACAACAGGGTTACAAGGCCGTAGATTTTTTTCTGAAGAACTAATTTCTACCATATAAGGTCTATGCTCTCCTATGTACAAAGATAGTATGCTACTACTACATTCTCAAATCAGTATAATACTTTGTATAGTTTCTAGTCAGCATAAAATTAAAATGGACAAATTTCAGAAGTTATGCAATAATGCTACACTTAACATTGTTACAAATATGTCATGTGCAAAATTAACCACACTCTTTATGGAGTCTTTCATCATTCAACTGAGTTGATAATTTCTTAACGATAGTTATGGCCTCGGCAATTTATCTCGTAAGACATCGCATCTAGAACAACTTACAGATATGATGAGTCGTCTTTTAGAGATCGGATCCTTTTGTTTTAAACCGAATTTATCCATTTGCATGCTCCAAAGTTATGCCAAGATTGTGGTTCTATTGAGCATATAAGCAGATCTCACAAGCATATGTTTTCAAAACCAAAAAGACATTTTGATGATATGTTTGAAAACCTTATTTATGGTTAATTATAAAGTTATTAATATTTTTTTACCACTTTAACTTTTTAACATCAAACATATGTTGCAAGTTCAAATCATTAGAACTCTTTTCTTATAATTTTATTATACTAACAACATTATTTTAAATCCAAATTTGACAGAATACTTTTTTTTTAATTCTAAACTTCTTATCAATAGAACAGTAGAAACCAGACTCCCAAATTATTTAAATTTTCAAATTTTCTTTTCTTTAAGTATATCTAGTAAATTACTTTTTTAATTTTCATCTAAAAAAAAAATTTAACTTATTTATTATATTATTATTATTTAATATATTATATTATTATATATATTATATTATTTATTATTTAATATATTTATTATAGTATTTATCAAAAAAATACTGATTTATCAAAAATGACCAAATATGGTAATTTGAACCCAGCCTACAAATTTAGTTTAATATTAAAAAATTTAATTTTCCTATAAAAAGCAAAAAAATATCTTTCTAAAAAGTGCTCAATGAGTTTTCTAGGATTTTTTAATCATTAGTTATGATCCTATTTTCAAAACTTTGCCTTATGGGCCCACTGTGTCATATTATACTGTTTCCTGCCTAGGATGATGAGTGCTGGATCTTCTTCTATTAGGTCTACTCATAGGTTTTTGCTAGTGCCTCCTTATGCAATTCTTCTTGTTATCTCCTAATGAAGGTACAGCTCTAAAAATCAGTTCAATAGTTTTGAGGTCGATTGGTAGTAAGGTTTCATAAACTCTGAGGTAGGCTGATTCCATCAACAGCTGCAAAATATTAGAGTATTAAAAGTGCCATTTTGCATGGATGGTGTCCCTGATAATGTCAAAGCCACCATAAGAACCCTATGTTACAACATTAGGGTTAATTTAGGAGGCTGTGCTCTATCTATGAATGAGTCAAGTTCTCTTTAAACTTAAAACATGCCAAAAGTAACCCAAAATATTAAACAAAAAAACCATCCCCACTACCTAACCATTTTAATATATCTTTTACTCATACTCTCATATTGGTCTGTGAAGCAGATTTTCATCAGTTAAATATTACCTCTTTCAAAATTTACTATACTCACGTGCTTTTAGTGAGACTAATTTAAATTTTGCTATTCCTTTTTCTGACTTCAGTGTTGAAGGGTACTATCCTTTGATTTGCAAAGGCTCCAATAGTCACAGGTTTGGCTTGGGGTTATACATACGTATCAATTTACTTATTTGTTGTGAAATCAAGTTCAAATCCTTTGACCATTCCTTTATGTGCTTCTTCTTGGCACCACTTCACTATCAATTTTCTTTGTTCTTTATCGTTGTCCTTCTTCTTAAGACTGCGCTCTTTTAGATGTAATTTCTGATCAAATTGGCCATGCCCTCTCTCTTTACCCCTCTGCCAATATTGTTGTTATTGGTGACTTAATTGATTATCACACTGAATGGCTTGACCTAATGTCACTGACCCTACTGGCACTAAAACCTATAACTTCTTTATTTCTTAATCTCCTACTCAGATAGTTAACTTTGTCACTCAAATTCCTAACAACCCTAACAATTTAACTTCACTCTTTGATTTATACCTTGTCTCTGATCCTATTTTGTGTTCAGTTTCTCCTTTTTTTTCCTTTAAGTGGTTCTGCCCATGCAATGATTTCTTTTAATCTTTCATCTCGTACTTCCATTTTGAACTCACCCTATCATTGCACTACTTACTACTACCCCAAAGCTGTCTGGGATTCTTTTTGTGACTTTCTTTATCATGGTCCTTAGTTTGATATCTTTTCTCACTCAGCTGATAAATGTACCTCCTACATAACCTCCCGGATTCAGGCAGAAATGAATGCTTTTATTTCTTTTCTTCTGTTCCAAGTCAAGCCTCATTTTACTCCATGGTTTTCACCCTCTTGTGCTGCTGCTAAACTAATCATTTTTTAATCTCTTTTAGAACAACTCTCTTGAGAACAAACAGCTATTTATTGTTGCAAAAAGCGATTTAAAAAGGTGCTGTCTGAAGCTAAGCTCCATTATTTTCAGTTCACTAAATCTTTTATCTTATCTCAGAAGTTCGGCTCTAAAGACTTTTGGAAAATCTTCAACAGCGTCATTAACAAGGATAGGTCTAACAATGTCTCATGTCATTGTCTCTGTCATTGTCTTACAAAAGTGTTTTCCCGAACTCTCTTCAATTCTTTCTAAACTATTTAATAAATGGTTGACTGAGTCTTGTTTCCCTACCTGCTGGAAAATGATATCTGTTGTTGCAGTTTTTAAGAACTCCATTGAAAATTTTGACCCTTAAAATTGTCAGATAAGTCTTCTTTCTGTTTTTGAGTCATTGATATACAAATTTCTCACATCCCATCTTGAGTCAAATAACTTACTGTCAGACAATCAATACAGTTTTTAATCCTCTCGGTCTATGGCTGACTTGCTAATTGTTGAGACTGAAAGACTTTATCGTGCATTAGATGGCTAGGGCTATTGCTCTTGACATCTAAAGCTTTTGACTAAGTTTAGCATGTTGGTCTTTGCTCTAAAAGCTTGTTTCATATGGTCTATCTGGGAAAGATTTTAAGATTATCAAATTGTTTCTTTCTAACTGCTTCATTAAAGTCATCCTCAAAGACCAACACTCTTCTCCATTTCCAGTAATTTCTGGGGTACCTCAAGGTTTTATCCTTGGTCCTGTTTTGTTTCTTATCTACATTAATCATCTTCCTAACAACCTTACATTCAAAGTAGCTCTTTTTGCTGATGATTCAACTTATATATACTCCTGTCTCCTCTTTTCGATCGCTTAAAATAGGCAGCCAATCTTGAACCTGATTTTACTTCTGTAACAGATTGGGACTGCAGTGGCTTGTAAATTTTAACTCAAACAAAACTCAGTTATTAACTGCAAACAACTATCGCAGTACTGTTGACATTTCTATATTAATGAATAGCAACCCGTTCATTGACTCCTCTTCTTTACATCTTGGATTATTGTTTACTACTGACCTTCCATAGATATCGTATATACATTTGATTGCTAATTTAGCATCCGCTAAAGTTGCTTTTCTTTATTGTGCATACCATTTTTATGAGTCTCTTTCCAATCGCTGGTAATTTACATCTCTTTCTCTTTTCTATAAATCATTGACGCTGCTCAAAGGAACTATCATCTCTAACTCCATGAACTTAAACTCATTTTTGTTCGACTTGTCATTCAGCAAAGCTCTACTTGTTTACTGTGTCTATCCCTGCAAGCTCTAAAAACTTTTATTCATTTTGGTTTTTCCCCTGCACTTCAATTCTTTGGAACACTCTTCAGGCTTTCACAGGAAGACGTGCGATTTCACGTCTTTATATGACCACGCAAGTTACATTTTGCTATGACAGTTTGACCGCGGCTAATTCAAAAAACATTTTAGAAACGCGCTAAATAAAAAAATATTCTAAAAAAGTTAAATTAATTACTTCAAAACTTTTTAACAAATGTTTTTATATTAGCGGAACGATTTTAAATAAAGTAACAGTTTACTGAAAAAGTTTTGTTTTTTAAATATAATTGACAGTTGTATATATTTTTTTAATTTAAAACATAAATTGTTTAAGTGTTCATTTCTAATATAAATCTTATTAAAAAATAAAAAATTGTAATGTTTTTATTAACGATGACATTCTACGACTACGAAAATCTCTTTAACGAATTTAAATATAAGAATGATTTAAGTTAATGCATTGAAAAAGATAAACAAAATTTCGTTAAAAAAAAAAGTTTTAGAAAACCGTTACAATTTAATAAGTTTGATCTTAAACGCTTTTAATGAAGTAAAAAAAAAAACACTTCTAATTAATTTAAAAAAACGTATTTATAAAATGCTTTTTTATTTTATTTACATAACTATGTATTTTTTATGAGAAATATTTAACTTTTGAACATTTTAAACAAATAAAAAATATATAAAAATGTTGAAACAAAGATTGAAAAGGTTTTTTAATGCGTAAATTAAATAGACTAAGCATTTTAGTTTGATGAGTTTTATTTTAGTTGCGTTATATATATATATATATATATATATATATATATATATATATATATATATATATATATATATATATATATATATATATATATATATATATATATATATATATACATATATATATATATTTTTGGGTTTTTGCTTAAACTAAGTATTTTTTTGCTTAAACTAAGTATTTTTTTTTATTTTCTCTTTCGTTAATATTTATTATTTTTTTAATTTTTTTTTTCAGATAAGTTTAGGTAAGTTTTTGTAGCGCGTTTTTAAATTTTAAAAATATACAGTGGTCAAATCGTTAAAACATTTTTTTTTTGCGTGTTCATATAAAGACATGAAATCGCACGTCTTCCTGTGAAAGCCTGCTCTTCCATATTTATGTTTTGCTGACTCATACAACCTTCAACTTTTCAAATCTTCTGTCAACCGTTTCCTTGTTCTATAACTCTATCTTTTTGTTTTCTAGTAACTCCCAACTTAATAGTGGCTGCTTGCAGCCTTGTTGATAGTGAGTCAGAAACATAAATGGTACTTTAAACAGTTAGAGTAATGATTCTGATAATCTCAATAAAATTATATTTGTTTTAAGACTTGAAACTTGCTTCATTTCTTATTGCTTTTTGTATATCTTAACTTATAAATTAGAGACAATACTTTGACAACATTAGGAGCTCAGCAAAAAAAGGTAACTCAATATTTTGAATAATACTTAGCAAGAAGCTTCTTTCACCACATCCTAATCCATTGTTGGAAATGCATGAAAGTCAAATGTAAATATTGAGTCTAACTAACAATTAGGTTCAATTGATGAGGACACAAAAACTAAAAAAAGTATTTACCCAGTATAACTAGCAACTAGCTAGCATAATTAAAACTACTGCTACAGCAAATGGTTGTAACTATTATTACCTAGATTTGCTAGAAACAACTCTTAAAAATAAAAACAACTAAGGTATGAGGATCTTTAGCTACATAAGCTGACAACTAATCAGCAACATTTAACAGGGACAAACCCAAACATGTTTTGGTAATGCTGGTGCAGTATCCAAAACATTTTCGTTGTTTCGGATATTTATACCCATAATAGTCATAACATAAAGCAAGTTTTTACAATATAATTGGATGTTTGATATAATAAAATAAGAATGGGCAGCACTGATTGGCTAGGTAATGCCCAGTCAAAAATAATGTTACTCAAACTCACTAATTGTCTAAATCACTTTACTTGCCAAACTTAGCTTCATCTAATTTTTGGCTCTTCAACTTAACATAAAAACCCATGATAATTACACTGACATCAAAAGTAAAAAAACAACAACAACACTTAAGCAATCAATTTCAAAGTATACCCAAAGAACAATATAAAAAAACATTTAACAAATAGTGAGTATGCAACTTTGTATAACTATATTCATGAAAATTATTTGGAACATTTAATAACATAAAATTAAAAAAAAATTCTTTTTTGTTTTATAATGTAGAAAAAAAAAGTTGGTTCTTTCTTTATACTTTTTTGTTTGAAAACTTTTCTATGGATTCAAGTATTTTTAAGTTTCTATGGATTCAAGTATTTTTTAGTTTCTATGGATTCAAGTATTTTTAGGTTTCTATGGATTTAAGTATTTTTTAGTTTCAATGGATTCAAGTATTTTTAAGAATAAATAAAGTATGCATGTTCATATTTAAAAGTATAAAGTATCAGTATAAAGTACCTCTTCACCATTAAGTGAAAATGTCATATCACAAAACTGCCTGCTTTCCAGAAGTCTACCAAAATCTTCTTGGAGAGTGCATCTTGGATAAGATGAAAAAGTGAAATAAAAGAGTTCACCACTACGCACATTGTTATCAACAGTTCCTCCAAAGACATACAAACGATCACCAATAACATCTGCATCATGAAATAACCTTCCATTCGGCAACTAAAATATAAATTTTTGTTTTAAACTTTTTTAAACAACATCATGTAAATATAAAATATAACTATAAAATGTTTTTGACAAACCTCGCCTTCAGTTTGAATGACGTCCCATGTTTCTGTCTCAAGATCATACCTGGTAAAATGGAATACTAATTTTTTTAAATAGTTTTAATTTTTTTAAAATTCAAAGTTTTTATTTAAATTTTCTTTTCACCCAACTTCAAAAAATAAAAATAAATTGCCATTAATAAATTATAATTTATTGAAATAAAAAGGAATTTTTTTTTTTTTGTCAATAGTGATATTAAATTTTTATCATGGCTTGACAATATAACAAAATTAGTTGTTTTATTTTTATTATTTCGGTTAACACAAATACCATAATATTAAGTTGTTTGTATTAACACAAACATAAACATTGAAAGTAAAATTTTTGTAAAAACATTATAAATACATTAATAACTGGTTAACTTTATGATTGGATAAATGAAAATTTATAACAATACTTAATTACTCTTAATTTATTTTGTAAAAATCTAATAGTTGCAGAAGCTGTTAGTTTTATTTAATTAAGAATTATATTAATGTATTTCAAAGTAGACTATGTAAATGTAGAATTATAAGATATCATACCAGTAAAGGTCATTTGGCAAAGTGTTATCAGCTGCACCACCAAAAACATATAAATGTCTATCATGAGTAACCATTGTATGTCCATATCTGCGAGATGGTGGTGGAGGTGTACCTTTCAATAGATGCTCAGTTGTAATTCGAGTCCATCTAATAACAAAAAAAAAAAAAAAAAAAAAAAAATAGCGATAATTTTCTATGTTATCGCAGTTTATGTAATAACATACACACATGCACATTAGGGTACAGTGAATTTCATATGTTTTTGAAAAAAATAAAATTAAAGCTTAGGAAAAGGTGTATTCTTATGTAAAATTAAATTTTAAGGTAGGTTTGCTATTGACAACTTTTTGATTAGAAAACGTTTTGATACCCAAATTTTCATATTTAGACATTATTAAAATGAAATATACTTTAATTATTATAAAGTAAATTTAATCGGGTTTTATGTTTAGTTTCTCATAATGAGCGCAGTGCCAAATCAATTTTTAAAGAAATTCTTAGCTCTCCACCGTAAAAAACATCTAAACAAGATCGTAGTCTGTAAATATTTTATTATTTATTATATTCCTGGTGAGCTGCCTAAAACAAAGCAGTTATTCAAAAAGGAATTTTATTAAAAGAACAAAAAAGCATAACATGCAATTTACACCAAAATAAATATTCTAACAAAGATCTTGCTAACGATCTAATTCCACTTGTTCTTGCTCAATGGAAAAAAGCAAGTATTTTATTTCAACAACCAGTTATTATTGGGGAGAAATCGCTTTATTATAGAATAAAAACACTTTGGGAGAAAGTAGAAAACGTTGCATGGGGAAGAACTAAGGTAAAAGTAAAAGAAGAGCTAATATTGAAGTTAGATAAACTAATGGACCTCATAACATGTCCTCACACAATACTTCTATGCGAGCATGATCTGTCTGGGTGTTCTTCCCCCAAAAATTGTAAAAATAAAGCACATATAAATTGCACCTGTATTTATTCTAAAAAAATTCCAACTATGGAGCTCAGGTGGTTATACACTGTATAACCACCTGTTATACACTGTTATACACTGTATAACCACCTGACTGTATAATACAGTCAAAGAAATAAGACAGGTGAAAAGTCTGACATAGATGGGACATGCTAATAAGATTGAGATAATGAAACTAAGAAAAAAGTTTTAGAGAAAAGTCAGCGATGAAGAAGCTTACGAGAAAAGAATTAAAAAAATAGAGGAGGAACAGGCATTCTTCGAGGTAAATATAATTTCTTAATAATAAATATTTTCTTTTTTCATATAATAATAATAACAATAATATATATATATATATATATATATATATATATATATATATATATATATATATATATATATATATATATGTATATATATGTATATATATATATATATATATATTATATATATATATATATATATATATATATATATATATATATATATATATATATATATATATATATATATATATATATGTATTTTGGTTTTAATTTGGTTTTAGGTCGCAAAAGAAGAAGATATAGAATTAGATAAAGAACATCAAAAAAATATTTTTCCTGGCTTTCTCGATGAAAACTATAATCTAGATAATGTTAACTTAACTTTAAAACAAGACAATGAAATTGTCTTGTTTTTGGTTAAAAGGCTGCTAAAGGAAAAGTTAGGTGTCTATGCTTTCCTTGTAACACGGTTTTTAGAAAAGAAGTCAAGATATAACACAATGTCAATAAAAAACACAGCTATGGCTAGTATAAGGTAATTATATTGACTATTGTTTTGTTGAGCAGCAACATGAGTTAATAGAAATAAATATAAACCATTCTTAGTTTATAGGTTTGGGATTTCACCTGCCACAACTGCAGCAATTTCTACAAGTTATCTTCAAGATTTAATTGAAGCAGGATTTCTCACCCCTGAGTCCTCTTACCTTGCTTGTGATCCTTCTAAGTTGACGAGAGAGAGAAAAAAGGTGATGGTAGTTGCGAAGAAAAATGATAATTTAAAACTTTCGAAAGCAGATAATATTGCCATTTACTTTGACGGAAGGAAAGATTCAACAAGAGCAATAATAAATGATTCAAATGGACAGCTACATCCTATTATTATCAAAGAGCAGCACATTACTGTGACTATAGAACCTGGTGGTCGATATTTTGGCCATTTTACCCCCAATGCACCTAATCATCTAGATAAGCCAGCTAAAAAAATTGCTGAAGGTGTTTATAATTTGCTGCAACAACATAATCTTACTGAATCATGTTTAGTACTTGGAGCTGACAGTACTTCAATTAACACAGGCTGGAAAAGCATCTTGAAAAGCTGTTAGGTCACAAGTGCCACTGGGCCATATGCATGCTTCATTCGAATGAATTATTTTTGCGTTGCCTTATAGAAGGCATTGATGGACCAACATTATGTAGTACTGTATTTGTAGGTCCTTTGGGAAAATTTCTTCCTGAAGTTAATAAAATGGAGTATAATCCTCAATTTAAAGCTCTTCCAAATGGAGAGAGCTTTGTTGACATTCCAGAAACAATATTAAAAAATATGTCAACAGATCAGAAACAATGTTACAAGCTATGTAAAGCAGTTAAGATTGGTTTATTGCCACCTAATCTTAGAGAAATTCAATGTGGCCCCTTAAGTCATGCCAGATGGCTCACTACTGGCATGAGAATAGTCTTTATGTGGACAAGGAAACACAACTTAAATGATCAAAATTCACAAAATATAGAAATACTTGTTGTATTTTGTTTACAATTTTACTTTAAACTTTTTTTTGACTTAAAGGTCAAAAACAGACTTGAAGATGCTTCTTATCGCATTCTGTCTCAATTGAGAATTCTTAGAATGCAACCTGATAGAGTAAAAGAAATTGTGACTCCCTACATCCAGTTAGGGGCTTGGTATGCGAACCATGAAAGTATGCTAATCTCTTTATTATCTAGTAATAATGCAGAAGATCGCAATTTTGCAGTTGATCGAATTTTAAAACTAAGGGGTAATGATATCCTTGGAGATATGCGAATCAGACCAAGAAAAACACCTAAACTTAACTTTGCAGCAACTACTCTTCAAGAGCTAGTTAAATGGGAAAATGGTGTTGTAGAAGAACCTGTTTTTACTTGTTCGCTCACCAGAGATAAGTTGTTATTACTTAGATTGATACCTTTAATAACTCCTTCGATTAAAATTCATACTCAAAGTACTGAACGTGCTGTAAAACAAGTGACAGTAGCATCCATGTCAGTAGTTGGACCATATGCAAGAGATGGGTATATTAGAGCTAGAACTCAGCATAGAGAGTTGCTACCTGTTTTTAAAACAAAGAAAGAAATTTTATTAAATTTTTAACTTCAATAGATTTTTATTTTATTTGTTTTTTAATAGTGTTTTAGTAGTTCTATCAAAATATTATTGGGGTAAGTTAGGGGATAAACCACCTATTTTTTGGTGAAAATATAAAGAACTGTTATGATCAAATTTTTTAATCATTAGAGCCTCATAAAAAATTGAATACCCCCTCCTCCTCCCTCTAAAAAATGCAGAATCTGCACTGCAGATAGGATCCATGCAAGATAATGATCTAAAAAACTTTCAATAATCTAAAAATATTATTTGCATTTAATATTTTATCGCAATGAAAATGAAAATATAAAATACAATGAAGGACATGTGACAAATTAGATTTTACTAATTTTTGCTATTTCTAAAAGTCCATATTTGGGTATCAAATCTTTTTCCGATCAAAATTTTTTTTTAGGAAACCCTTTTTAAAATTTGATTTTACATAAAAGTACACCTTTTCCTAAGCTTTTAGAAAGAAAAAAAAAATTCGCTGTACCCTAATGCACATATACTTTGATTGGGCTTGGTGGGACACTTCAGTCAACTTATTTTTTGAACACCAACTAATAATTTTAAAGACGATTAACCTATTTAAAATTAATTAACTTTCTTGAAATCAATTAACGTCTTCAAAATCAATAAAACTTTTCAAAATTAACTAATCTTCTCACAACTAATTAAAATCATCTTAACCAATTAAACTTTTTAAAATTTATTTACCTTTTCAATGCCAACTAGTTTTTTTAAAGCTTTGACAATCTAATACTTAAAATTTATAATTTGTTAAATTTAATTTTAGTTTAAAGTTAAGCTATTCAACTAAGAGACCACTATCACTAAGAGACCAATTATTGCTAAGTGACCAATGTCAATAATTACTAATGTAACAAGCGACAGCAGTGAATACTTAAGGAAGGAATGCAATAAATAATCCAAATTAGTTTTCCATCAAAATAAATTTAGACAGTTGTCAAAGCAAAAATAAAACCTATTAGAAAAGCAGCAATAATTATATTAAATTAATGAACAATATAGAATAGACAAAGCACATTAACAATATATAGAATATATAACGTAAACAAAGATAAAAACAGTGTATAGAATAAAACATAAAATTCTTCATAAAATACTTACAAACATAGATATAAACAGATCTAATTTACCAAACCAAATATTTATAATAAAAATAAGTTTAAAAAGCAAAAACAATGCTTATATATAAACTTAATTTGTAATTTTAAAATTTATGATTTGTTTAGTGGTGTAGTAGCAGAGTGCATAGAGCACTTCAGGGGGTAGTTCCAAGTTAATACATTTTTTAGTAAATAAATAATATAATGCCTAAAAGAAAAAAGTTGATTTCAAGAAAATTTCATAAATAATTTAATATAAAATTAATTATTTTATAATGCCAATGAAACCTAAAATGAGAATTAAATGAAAATCAAAATACTTTTAATAGATTTTAATTAATTGATCAATTTATAAAGTAACCAACAGGAATTAAATTCTATAAAATAAAGCTTGGACAGGAATGGCGTGGGATCGAACGCTATTGCTGACCACGCAATTTTTTTTTTTGTTTACAACTATACCACGAATGTTTAGATGTTTTGATGATTTAAATGATTCAGAAATGCGCTGAAAAAAGAAACGTTAAGTTAAGCTTAAACTAGGAAAAAAGTTGAAAAAAGTTGAAAAAACTAAAGCAAAACAATTACTTACAAAAAAGAAAATAAAACTAAAAAAACTAGAAGTTAAATTACTTTTTGTTACGTTTTTAATTGCATTTGGAAAAATCATTTTAAAACTCATCTTTTAAAACGTGTTATTAAAGTTACGCAAAACGATTTTACAATTTACTTCTATTGATTGCTTAATAACTGAATAAATTTTATTTAGATTAATGAAAAGTGAAATTAAATTATTGAAAAGAAAAAAATATAATATTTTTAAGTTGTATAAAGATTTTTTTTTCATAATGCAGTACAAAAAAACTGTGTAAATAAGTAACGTAGTCTTTTTAAAATCATAATTTTTAATCATTTCATGTTTTAATTAAAAAGTCAAGTTTTAAAAAATTCTTTGTAAAAATAGAAACAAAAAAAAAAAAAATAAAGCATTAAAATCATGGGAAGATTTAATTTAACTTATTAATAATTTAAAGTAACTTAAAAAAATAATCTTTTGAACAATTTTAAAAAAACATTGAAAAATAGTTTCCATTGTTTAAATTTATCATAAAAAATACATACCTGCTAAAAAAAATTTTAATATAACATTTAGTTTATGTATAATACATATAATTTAAACGATTATTGTAATTAATTTTTGATTTTATTTAAAACCTTGGTGTAAAATAAAAACTTTAAAAAAGATTTTTTTTTTTGCATTTAATTTGTTAAAACATCAAAACAGTCATTGTTAAATTGTAAAATAAAAAAATTAAAAAATAAGCATTGCCAGTAACAGCGTGAAAATTCAAGTCTATCCAAAAAAACATATAATATTAAATTGAAACTATTTTATTAAAAAACAAAAGTCTGCCATGAAATATTCTAAGTAATAAGGAAAGAAACTACAACTTCACTAGACTAACATTAAATAAACTAAATAACATGACAAAGATTTTGATTGCATAACTCGGTTCCGTTAAACCGTAAAAATTACATTTTAAAAGTTTGATCGGACACTGTCTGACAAATTTTGATTGGACATTTTATCCGGGACTTTATAAAAAATTAAATTGAGCCCTGAAAAAAAAATGGTAACAAGCATATAATACACTTACTTTTTTTCTAAAAAGTGGAACTGAAACAAGTCATTAGTTATTTTAGCACCACTCTGTCCTGAAAAAACGTACATTGAATCTCTTGCAACTGCTATAGGAAAGTTGCAGCATGTTGGAGGACGTTTACCAATTTGTTGAATCTACACAAAAGAAATAATAAATCCTAAAATCTACAAATAAGCAAAAGAAGTTATTCAACTTAATTTTTCTTGAACTTTTTAGCTTTTTAACTATTCCAAACAGTCCATACTACCTCATTCCATACAGGCATTGGATCAGATAAACAAATGCTCCATAGATCATTCAATCTAAAAAGTATATTTAAATAGATCAATAATTGAACATAATTTATTGCTGTATATTACTACTACTACTACTAATATATATATATATATATATATATATATATATATATATATATATATATATATATATATATATATATATATATATATATATATATATATATATATACACATACATACAACCTTTGAAATTAGGGTCGTCATTCGGCAATGCCAACCTAACTGCTGACCTCAAACAGTTTTAGGTCAGCAACAGCGGGTGACTGAAACAGTTTTTATTTCTCATTTAGTTGTCTGCTATGATATTCAGTAGTCCAGTGTAAAAGTTTTTTTGTTTTTTTTTTCTCAGGTGAAAATAATGATATATTTTTTTAAATTTTAGTTTATGCAAAGCCGTGTACTTTGTTTTTAAGGAGTAAATAATTATGTTTGTTAGAAAAAAAGCTGTACAAAACAAAACAAAAAACTTACAATTGCAAAAGTAACAAAACTCTAGTCACTGACTGCATAATAAAAGTAATTAAACTATAATAGTGTTATTACTTTTATAAAGCACTTATAACTTTTAAAGTTCATTCTTTGTTCAAACAACATTAGTAACTCCAAACTTTAATAAAAGTAGATAAATATCTAGAAAATATAAAGTGGATATTCAAATATTACTAAAAATTTTAGGAACTTTTACAAATACTTAAACAACTTTATAAAGACATACTTTATAAAGAGTTTGCCATAATGAAAAACATTACTAATATTCTGTAAAAATGTGCATTAATTTTAAAATAAACCAATAAAATGTTATTATTGATTGATTATAAAATCAACGCGTGTTTTTACGGACCATTTGTAGCATTTTTCATAAAGCTAAACTTTTTATACAGTACATTTTTATAAAATTGCTTAAGTTCCTTAATAAGATTCAAATATTATCTGAATACCCACTCTATTTTTCTAGATGCTTTTCTACTTCAATTAAAATATAGTTTTATTAATAAACACACTCTTATAAGTAATAAACTGTCTGGTCGTCCTGCCAGGCTATTAACAGACATTTATTTAAAATTTTAGTCGCCCTTAGTGAAAACGAGTCATCTCATGCCACCGGACGACCATGAGGGTACACCACTGCATATATAAATATATATGTATATATATATATATATTTATATATATATATATATATATATATATATATATATATATATATATATATATATATATATATATATATATATATACATACATACATACATACATATACATACATATATATGTATATATACACATATATAAATAAGGCGGGGCGAGTTCATCATGTTTTACTTTAACAAAATGAATTCTCCACAACATTCTTCACATGCCCACTGACTGCAACTTAAACATTTCAGCCAATCTTTGTTTGCTTCTCTCTAAACAGCTGCACGAACACAACATAAGTCTTTATCAACGTTACTTTTTATAATAAAACCAAGAGATAAACTTGGGTGATCAAAATCAGCTGAAAAATAAGTATTTTTGTTTTTATTTTGACTGATTTATCTTTTTTCTTTTTTTTAATTCTGTTTACTGATCACATGTTTTTTGGAGTCTTTTTAACAGGAGTATCCTTTATAAACTTAACATCCTACTCAATCAAAACACCATATTGCTCTTATTACATCAGGTGATGTAATAAGAGCAATATGGTGTTTTGATTGAATAGGTTTGCTTTTTTTCTTTCTGGAGAAGGTACAATAGTTCTTAAAACAGATAAATTTAATATATTTATGATTTACATTATTAGAGAGAATTTGATGCAAATATAGGTAGTACACCCTAAGCAATAAGCGATGCAGTTGCACCATAACCGCTAATCAGCTTGAAGTCAAAACAAAATATATGCATATATAAAACAACATATGCATTCAAAAAAAAAACATATGCATACATGAAATGTGTACAGCATAATGTTTTAAAACAAGACCTAGAAATTGTATTATAACATAATAACTGTTTATGTTTTATTAATAATAAAACATAAAACAAAACAAATACTTTAGATCAGATGTAAACTGTGTAAAAAAAATAACATTTAATAGAAAAAGCATGCCTAGCATTTCCATCATAACCTGCAAACAACCACATGCTATTTTTGTAAACAACAGCTCCATGAGCAGATCGAGCAACTGGAATGCTGTAACAAAATAATACAAATTATTATTATCAAAACATTTAATTTTATTGTCTATAAATAAAATATTTTCTACTTCTGAAAATGGTTGAAAATTAAAAAAAAAAAAAAAATCTTACTTCCCATTAACTTGCCATTCAATCCATTGACCAGTGTTAAATCTATACTCAAATAAATCATTTTTATTGCGTAGGTTTGAATTTGAGTAAATGTCACCTAAAAATGGTTAAGTATTATTAATACAAATACAATTAAAGCATAAAAAAAGCAGGTGCACAATAGTTTTAACAGATTTTAACTTTAGTTTCTCTAAGCAAATTTTATATAAAACTACTTTACTTACTCATGTTTCAAATTTTCTATAAAAAAATTAAATAAAATCATTTCATTAAAAAGGTTCCGTTTTTTACAAATTCAAGTTTTTCAAAACAATTTTCATGTTATTATTTTAAACCTGTATAAAAAAACAATTGTAGAAAATGATTGGACTTGTTAGTAGAAAATTCAAATAACACCTAACTACATTGCAAGTGACCTAAAGAATCAGAGACTAAATGGAAAAGAGTTTCAATCAAACTGTGTAACAACCATGATAAATGGCTTGGTTCAATACTTAAAATATTAAATACTTGTTGTTACATTAAAAATGTAATTAAAGTAGAAAACAATTATCATGGTAGTGATATATAGTAGATCTTATAGCTACATGAATCAATAGTATTCCAACAACATTCAATAGAGTACACAAAATGGTTGCAATTACTTTACAGCAAAAAAATTTAAAACTCTTTAATTACTGAAATAGCCAGTAAAAAAAAACTCAGGAGAGATAAAAAATTTTAATATTTTGATAATTAGATATCACAAAGCATCGCTATCATAATCAATGCATGTATATATGTGCATTGAGTTATTTGTAAGAAAGTTTGCAGAGTTGTAACTCTGCAAACAGAGTTACAACTGTGATTGTGACTTGATTTGTAAAAAAATATCACCAATATTATATAGCCATAACAAAAAAAGTTTAAAACCAATGTAATGTTACTGAGGTAATATGTGGTCAGAATTTATTATATAAAATATTCTTTTTTTCATGATTAAACTTGTTTATTTATTAATCAATTGCGTACAAAGAACATAATTAGACTTTAATTTATCTAAAAATAATTTTTTCCTTTAAATATTGAGATTAAAGTGATATCTGGACTTTAGTTCTAATAAAAGCAACCTATACTGTTGGGTTATTAATTTATGTTAATTATATCAATGTTACTATAATTATTGTTAAAACAACTTTAGGATGAAATTCTAAAATTATATTTATTCAAACTTTAAAATTACATTCTAAAATTACATTCAGTCAAACTTTAATATCACATTCTAAAATTATCTAAATTTAAACTTTAAGATCGCATTTTAAATTATTTACAACCAAATTTTTAAAGTTAGAAATTAAATTTTTTTCTCATTAATCAATGCCAACATAGCAACAAATTAAAAATAAACCAATAAAACTGGTAAATCTAAGGTTCAGCTAAACAACAACAAAACAAAGTAAAAAGCAATAAAAAAAAGGCATAATAAAAATTAATATTCACCAGTGTAACCGCCAAAAACAAACATGCTATTTGCAAAAACAACAGCTGAATGATGGTATCGAGGAGCTGGTGATGTACCTGATGTTACAACACGACCCCATGAACTGTCTTTGATATCAAAACGCAGTAAATCATTCAACATACGCTTTCTTAAAAAAGTTTAAAAAAGTATTTTGTAATATATATTTTCAAAACTTAAAAAAATACGGTAATTTGATACAGGATTATCAATGATAATACAGGAATATCAAAAAAGTATTTTTTGTATTTATTCGATACAGGATTATCAATGATAATACAGGAATATCAAAAAAGTATTTTGTAATATATATTTTTAAAACTTAAAAAAATACGGTCATTCGATACAGGATTATCAATGTTACAAGTATCCTGTCAGGGCCTATTCTAGGAAAAAAATTTGGGTAGCAGTACCTCCTCATTCCAGCGAACTTCAGTAAAAATTCTGCGTTTTTTATACGAAAAAAACAATATTTGCCATAAAAAAGTGAAAAAAAAATCCTCAAATTTTAATTGGGGCAGCACCCAATAAGCGCCCAAATATGGTTGATGCTATCGAAAACAGTCTAGAATAGCCCCTGGCTGTTAAAAAATGAGAAACATTTTTAAAATTAGGTTTTAAGGTAGTAAGGTAGTTAATTATTCTTGGAGGTAGTTTACACACTTTTAAAGGACTTTTCGTTGTTATTTAAAACTTATAGAAAACTTAAAAAAAAAGGAGAGTTTTTTGTTATTAGACAGCTGGATGCAATTTATGGATGCAATTTATGACCTTTATCATTGTTTAAAGTATATTCTTGAGAAGTAAGAAAATTACCCATTGTCACCACCAAAAACATAAAGCAAATCCCCCCATGCAACAAGTGAGTGCTTACTGCGTCTAAAAATAAGATTAAACATAAAAATAATCGCACAGTTTGTCATAATATATAAGAAAATAAATAAAAAATACTTTAAAAAGTAATAAGAAAAAGTAATAATTAATTCTTAATTTATCTAAAATCATTTATATTATTTATATTTTTCAAACAGTGCTGTGGCTAGAGGGTCAGAGCCCCCTCCCTCTAACTTGTCATTAGGGTTTTAAAATCGTAAAAACCTTACATTACTAGGTGTATTACTAAAAAAAAAATCCTTATATTTGGAAAAGAACCCCTAAATTTGAAAAATGCCCCTAAATTCACAGGTCCTGCAAATTGTCTACCATGGCTAGCCCCCACGCTTACAAACTACGCATAAAAACTTTTATAACTTGGGGTAAAGATAATGTTCGTTGAGTTTTAAATTTATGAAACTCAACAAACATTATCTTTACCCCAAGTAAAGAACTATATTTACTTGGAACTATATTTACTTCCATGAAGCAATTTTCAAAGACTTATAACAGTCTTTGAAAATTGCTTCATGGAAGTAAATATAGTTCAAACAAATTATTTTATTACAATAACACACATAGGCAGATTAAAGTTTATTACAGTGTCTCAGAAAGTTAATGACATTTCTTTGAAGAAATAATTTAACTTTCGCAAGAGACCTTTTGCACACTTCATTTGTGTAATCAATGTCTAATAGACAGTAGTTCTAAATATCACAGTGTCTTTCAAAACACTACAGGTAATTTACCAATTAATACCAATTTTAATTTCATTAAATCGTCAACATTTAATTTCATTAAATCGTTCTTCTGCAACAGAACCATAGCTTAGCCCAGTGATCTACAATAAAATTGCACGCCTCTATTATTGATTCTTTTTTTGTCTGAGTCAAAAGCATATATTTTAAATATATAAGAGATAGCTCTTGATTTCCATCATGCATTTGAAATATGGTTTAGATGGTAGTTACTAATGAACTCATTAATGAACCATTAATTAATATTAGTCGATGTTGATAAGGAATCAAACTCTGGGTTCATAAAATGCTTAAGAATCAGGTTGAGAACATAAAGTCGACAAGGATGGTACACTAAAACTGAAATAATTTTTGTCAAACGCTTAATTACTTCATTTCTTAAACCTGTATTTACTGCAATGGTTTCACATATTACAAAGGAAACTTTATTTAATAAATTAATATCTAAAATAAAATTGAGTAACATGTTATAAATAGAAACAGAGTTGCCTTTTTCTAATTTTTTCAAAAATATTACCGAAGATTTAGACTTGCTCGAAATGCAAGTGCTATAATGTTAATTGTCTATGCTCTCACCATCAAAATATAAGCACCACATTTCTTCAGAAAAGTCTTTATAAGACCGAATCAAGCTTAATTCATGCACAAGTGTTGTAGATGCTTTTTGGACTGCCTACCTGCAAATCCATGGAAGGGCGATCAATTTGTCCAATTAAATTATTTTCTGACAGCTTATACATCTGAAATACAGATTTTTAAATATATACAATACACAATAGTTAAACATTGTTTAACTATTATATATTGTTTAATAAACAATATGAGTAATTTAAGCAAATTTTCAAACTATTGAAGATACTTTAAAATGGATTTGCACAGAGGGTTTTTTGCGTTTTTATAGTTTATTTTTTTGTTTTTGTGAGTTTTAGGTAATTACACCACAGACCGTCATTGGAAAAAAAATTCCCACCCCTAATAAACAAATATGTGTGTATATATATATATATATATATATATATATATATATATATATATATATATATATATATATATATATATATATATATATATATATACATATATATATACATATATATATGTATATATATTTATATATATATATATATATATATATATATATATATATATATATATATATATATATATATATATATATAATGCCAAAAAAAAGGTAAAAAAAGACCTCAAATTTTAATTTGGCTGGCGCCTAAATACGGTCGACGCTGTCCAAAATGGTCTAGCATAGCCCCTGATATATATATATACATATATATATATATATATATATATATATATATATATATATATATATATATATATATATATATATATATATATATATATATATTTATATATATATATATATATATATATATATATATATATATATATATATATATATATATATATATATATATATATATATATATATAATCTTTAAATGTCATTTTCTTGTTATACGATAAAATGTATGTAAAATTCAATAAATATGGTTTTGAATAAATTTTTTTTTTTTAAAGTATATATTTGTTTTTTTTTTTGCTTTTATTTTAATATATATTATTCCATATTTTGCAATGCTAAATAAAGTAGTGATGTTTTTATTATTTTTTTGATCCCTTTCTTCATTTATATTTTTTCCTTGATTTATTAAAAGAAGTCGATTCCTTGACTCCTTTTCTATAAGAAAAATTGTTAGTAAATTTTATTTTTATATTTATTCTTTATATATGTCATAAACCTGTTTGACAATGTGGAACACAAAGCTTTTATATTATTTCTATGATTATTAAATACAAATCGATTTTTAATGTAATAAGCGCACTTTAAGCAGTACTTTGACATTCTTGATGACTTTATTTATTATTATTTTATTTATTGTATTATTACCTAATTTTGAAAAACCATTAAGCATGTTTGACAAATAAATTTAAATAATTCCATACAATGATAAATGCTGTAATGAAAGGACTGAAATAATATGTAGTGTTTCACAGGACTCTATTTTAGAACCCCTTTTATTTTAATTCTATAAAAATGAACTTAACAAGGCATTTGAACTAAGTAGTATTATATTTGTCGATGATACAAATTCATTCTTATAGGATGTTATTATTGATGAACTATTTTCAAATGTTAACAAAAAAACTTAGACATATATCAAATTAGTTTAAATGCAATAAATTAACCATGAATGTTAAGAAAACTAAGTATATTCACTCGTTATCTAAAAAATCTTTAATGCTAAAAATTTTACCTTACTTATTAAAAGACAAAGTTGAAATCAAAAAAGAATTGTCTGCAAAGTTTTTAGGAGTTTATTTAGATGAAAATGTTACATGGAAAACACATATTACCTACATCAGCTCTAAAATTACTAAAAGTATTTGAATTTTATTTAAATTACTTAAACAAAAAATTATTTAAAAATTATTAAAGCAAGAAATTATTTAAACAAAAAAAACCTTATGCAAGTTCAGGGTGGCCACTCAAATTTGAAAATGAAACTCAATGACTTTTTCATGACTCTTCATAAACCTTTATGATGAATCACTAGAGTGAAATATTTAGTACATCTTTACGACTAAATAGTACTTGCCATGCACTAAGCATTTGCAACTTGGTCATTATAAAACATACAAAAAACTAATTGGTAGAAAGTTCTGAAATGACGTCTAAAAAAAACTCTTTTTCTTTTACTTCTCTAATAACTTTCACTACAAAAATATCTTTTTTAAAAAGGACTTAGGCTAGACATACTACTACTTTTCTTTCAGTGAAGAACCCAGACGTGTTTTAGTACCATTTGACCGGTATGGGCGCTCAAAAATTATTTTTATCTTTTATTTTCTCTTGAAAAATAGAAAAAAAATTCTGTTTTTAATGCAGTAGTATATAAATAACTTTCAGTTTATTTTAGCTACCTCATTTTTTCTTTAGGATAATAAAATGAATTAAAAAGAAAATGTTAAAACTTTTTTATGTAACTACATGATGTAATTGGCCTTTGGTTACTAACTGTCGTAATTATCGTGCAAGCCTAATTTTTGAATGAATGAACTTTTGATCTTTAGCTTGCTATTTTAATTTACGTGAGGAAAACGAAAAAACAAAGCGTAAACTTTGTCAGAATGTTGTGTTTCTTTTCGATATTCTTTTTGATTTTTAAAATAATAAAAATTAAGATTTCAACTTAATAAAAGTTAATAACTTAATAAAAGTTTTATTAAAATCGGTTTAAAATAACCCATAGAAAATAAAATTTATTTATGAAACATAACTTTTTAAAATTATAGTTAATGATTAAAAAAATATTTTTTTAAAAATAAATGTTTTTTAATCAAAAAAGTATAACATTATTAAGATTATGTTTACCGTAATATGTCTTTAAATTAATAATCTTTAAATAAAAAAGCCTTAAAATCACTTTAAAAATTATTGACCTTTAGTAAAAGTTAAATGAACAGATTTGCTAATATTTAAATCAAAAATCTAAAAGTAAATAAGTTTATTAAATGCTTATGTTTATATATTTGAATAGTTTATTAAATACGTTTATTAAATGCTTATTGAATTTATTTATTAAATGCTTATGTTTTTAATTCAAATACAAGACATAAAACTATTTTGTTAATTTTACAAATATTAGGTGATTTAATATATGTAAATATATTATGTAATGTAAATATTGATTAAAAATTGTTTAAAATATTTGAACATTTAATTACTAATTATTTATAACATTAATAACTACTAAATTTAAATTTACAAAAATATAGTTAATAAATGTTTAAAGTACTTTAAATAATTATTTACTGATAGCATGGTATTTGCAACAAAAGCGTTTATTAAAGTTTTGAGTAAAATTGCTTTCTTATTGAATCTAAAGTAACATCATCCAACAGTAAATTCATATATTCAAAAAAAATGCATTAAATCAACTCCTTATTATAGGATAAAACTAAACAAGATAAACATAAATGATTATTAAAAAAATGATTATTAAAATTTATTGTTGTGGCACCCGATTAACTAGGGAAGGAGGAAGAGGGGGTCATTACATCATTCCCCCTTCCCCTTCAATGTTGCCAGGAAAAAAATCGGTATCCCTAAATAAACTCTGGGTTTTTCACTGTCTTTGCATCCTAAAAAAGTAGAAAAAATAAAGACAATTTTAAAAAGTTCAAAGATAATTTTAAAAATTTTCTATGACTTTCACAATGAAAACTTAGGAATGACTTTTTCCATGACCAAATAAAATTCCATGACATTTCCATGATGACCAGTGGCCACCCTGAATTTTACAACTTACTTATACACATTTATATAAACTATGCAAATATTGCTTGGAAGCACTAGTAAAAAAAAAGTGACTTTTTTTATCATCGCTGTATGCTTAATATGTTTTCAAAAATATTTGAAAGTTCAAAAAAAATTTGAAAGTCATGAAATGTTCCTAACATATATGAACTAAATGTTTATAAAGTTCTATGTTTTATGTTTCAATGTCAGAATGATTCAGTATTACCTATTTTCAAAGATTTTTTCACATTAAAAGCAAATAATAATATACACTTTGAAATAATAACTTTTTAAATAAACCATTGTGTTGAAGAAATTTTAGTTTTGTATTGAACACAGTGGACCTTTTTTGTGGAACAAAATAGTTTTACCTAACTTTGAATTGTCAATATCATTGTGTGTTTTGAAAAAAAAAAATTTATTCTTCCATTGGATAACATTTTTATATATTTTCAGCAGTATTATAACTATATTATAAATTTAAATCAGTCTTTCACAGGAAGACAAGCTATTACACATCATTATATGACGAGGCAAATCACATTTCCCTTAGACGATTTGACTGCATCTATTTCAAAAATTAATTTTAAAACCTGCTAAATGAAAAATATTCTGAATTATATTTTAGGTGAAATAAATTACATCAAAACTTCTTAACAAACTTTTTTATATTAGCAAAATACTTTTAAATAAATTTACTGATAATGATTTTTTAAAGTATAATTGACAGTTGTATATAATTTTTTTAATTTAAATTATATAAATTGTTTAAGTATGCATTTTTTTATAACAAATGTTATTAAAAAATAAAAAATAATTTTTTTTCTATAAAAGATGACTTTTTACGACAAAGAAAGTCTCTTTAACAAATTTTAATATAAGAATTATTCAAGTTAATACATTTAAAAAGACAAACAAAATTTTTTTAAGAAAAAAAGATAAATGTTTTAGAAAGCGATTAAATATTTTTAAAAACGATTAAAAATGATGAATTTAACAACCTTACAAGAATGTAGGCTGCGAGGTGATTTAATCCAACAATACAAAATTGAGCACAATCAAGATATTATAAATTGGGTTCACAAAAATGAAAGTTTTAAACATGCTCTAAACCTACATCAGCACAAATACACTTTGAATAAATCATTTTGTAAAAGCAAGTGTAGATTTAATTTTTTTATTCAACAGATTAACTAATCCATGGAATAGTTTGACAAATGAAATCGTAGACGCTGACTTAATTGATAAATTCAAGAACTACCTCGACAAGTTGTGTAGAGATAAAACACTTTAATTATTCAAAAACTAATATTAGCTGTTATAGTACAATATCTTATGTTATTGTACTCCACATCTGTTCTCAGTTGTTACAGCTCAGACTTATTATTATTATTATTACTATTATTGCTATTATTATTATTATTATTATTATTATTATTATTATTATTATTATTATTATTATTATTATAAGCCGTTACAATTAAATAAGATTAATCTTTAATGCTTTTATATTATCAAAACACTTTTTAATGAAGTAACAAAACACTTATAATGAACTTTTATAATAAATATTAATAAACTGTTGTTTTTTTTATTTATACAATTATGTATTTTTTATGATAAATGTTAATCTTTTGAAACAAAATTAAAAAAACAAAAAATTAAAGTACAAATGTTAAATCAAAGAATGAAATGGTTTTTTAATGCCTAATTATTTATTTGTTTACATTTACAGGGAAATTAATATTTATAAATTAGTAAAAAAAAACTATAATTTAAATCAAGTATTTTAAACAATCATTAAAAGTAATTTTTTTTTTGTGCTTATTAATGTTTAT